CCAACAGAAAAGCGTACCCCTATAGTGCCACCCGGCAGCTGCTGGGCCCGCTGCGGGCGGCTGAGCCCCGGCGGGCGGCGGGAGTCCGGGCACAGCCCCGGGTTTCCCTCCCGAGCAGTTTTCGGGACATTTTCGACCGGGAACAATTCCTACCCCTCTCCGTGACCCGCGGCCTCACGATGTTCCTAAGCAGACGCGCCCGGGGTTGGGGCAAAGGGAGTTTCCAAAGGGAGCACATCCATCTGCGGGGATGCTCGGGCCGCCCTCGGCCCCAGCCGCAGCTGCATAGCCACCCCGCTACCCGCGCAGTCACCTCGCCCGAGTCCATGAACCCAGCGACATCGAGGGTACCCAGTGCTCAGCTCCTGCCGCGCGGGTCGGGGGAGGCCCGGCAGACATCGGAGCAAACTCGGGGCCTTGAAAAGTATTTTTAGAGGAGCCTCTGCGGCCCAACCCGGCCGCGGCCTAAGCTGAAACTGTGCTGTTGAAGCAAATTCACGGCTCACCCCTTACAGGGCCTGATCCTGCTCCCGCGGAACCCGGCGAAAGCCGTGCCGAGAGGGCTATAAAAAGCCTTGTATCTGGTCTACCATTTCAAATAGCTCTGTCCATCTCGAAAATAATACTAATTTCCACGTGTTCTAACATATGATGCTCCCTTGCCATGGGGCTTGGCGCTTTCCTTCTTCTCTTTTAAAAGGAAAAGAAGAAATCGAGATCGTCCTTTTCCGTTCGTTTCTACGGATAAAGAGCGACGACCATGCAGGCTGAGATCGCTTGGAAATTGAAAGCTTTCGCAAGCAGAAGTTAAATACTGGCTTTTAAAATATATTAAATACTGGCGTATTAAAAAACAACTATGTCGTTAATACACTGCATTTGTCCTAGATACTATATCTTACTGAATAGAGCACGCTGGCTCCCGCTTTAAATAAATATCTATATAAATATTACATCGAGAGATATAAAATAATATATATTTTCTATCTCTGTGTCGGCCTTCCAGCTAAATCCGTGTCCGCAGAGCATCGTGCCATCACTTGCAGCCATACAGACAAACATCCTACTGCGTAGGCTCCAGTAACTCACACCTCATACAAAAACACGATTAGAAAAAAAAACAATCGGCAACAACGAGAAATGCAGTGGCCGTTTTGTGCAAGCGGCGTCCGAGCCCTAAAACCGTTTTCTTCATTTTAGGCCCAAAATATTCGCCGGGCTCTGGGCTGGAAGCCTCCCCTGGCACGGCGAGGAATCGGCGGGGAAGCGCACGGCCGGCAAAGCCCGGCAGCTACTTTTTTAGGAA